AGACTTCGAGGCCAGTCTGGTCTTCATAGTGAGTTCCAGGACAACCAGAGCTATACAGTGAGACCCTGTCTCAAAACAAAATAAAACAAACTAACAAAACTTAAAAAGTTATTATTTCCCATCCAACTTTACCATCTCTGACTATACACACACACACACACACACACACACACACACACACACACGCACACACACACACACATATATACCTGTGAGGATGTTTGAAAATGGATCCCAATAAACAGTATTATGTGGACAGCTAAACTGACTCAAGTTCACCTTCAAAGACAAAAAATGCTGCTGCCTTTGGGTGATGTCAGGGTCCCACGGGGTCTACACTTCTTGAGAATGTTTGAGGGACTCTAGACTTTGAAAACAACAAACTCTGGTTTGGTGAATAAAGGAGACAAGAGAAGACAGAGAAGCTTTAGTCCTGGAGGAGGAGGAGGAATTCCACTTACTTCAGAGGGCACGGAGAGAGAAACCACTGAGCTTCCACTCCCAGGAGCAGTCACCCCGAGCTGTGACTGGGGTATCGGCTTGTGAAATGGAGACATGGGGCAGATTGTCGGGTCTCCCACATATACGGGTTGAGTAAGCTTGGACAGGTTCCTTAATCTCTCTGAGCCTTGGTTTCCTTGTCTCTAAAGCAAGATTGCTTAAGCGAATGCATTCAGGCCAGGGTGTGTCAGAGAACACGCGGACTAATGTAGACTATTGTTATTACCAGCTGCTGCCGACAGGCATTCCCACGTCTTCTCTCTCCCCTTCGTCCTGGCCTTCCTTTCCTCTCCCAGTATTTGGTTTCCTCTTTCTTTCTAGCCCTTGGGCAGAGGCCAAAGATGGAATCAGGGCCTGGTACATGCGAGGTAGAACATGGTGCTCCAGCTGTGCCTACACTCCTCCGCATACCTGTCCTGCAGACAGATGTTAGCCAAGAAATACAGCACTTCCCAGAAGGCCGAGGGAACAGCCCATAGCCAAGTCTTTCCAAATATTTCCCTATTCATTTATCTTTATGTATTTTATGCCTGTATGTCTGTGCAATACCCACGGAGGCCAGAAGCACAGACAGTTGTTAGTGTAGGTGCTGGGAATCAAACTGGGTCCTCTGGAAGAGCAACAAGTGCTCTTAAGCCCTCTCTCCAGGGCACCCCACCCCTTCTTTTATGAGACAAGGTCTCTCACTTGGACCCGGAGCTTGACAATTAGACCAGGCTAGCTAGCCAGGCAGCGTAGAATTCTGCCTGTCTCTGCCTCCCCAGCCTTGGGAATACCAGCTTGTGCCAGCATTCCCAACTTTATTCATGGTTGCTTGCAAAGCAAGCGTTTTACTACTAAGCTACCTTCTTGCCCCTGCCTTTTGAGATGGTCTCGTGTAGCCCAGGCTGGCCTGAAATGCAGTATGCATTGAAGATAACCTTGAGTTTCTGAGCCTCCTGTTCCCACCTCCTGATTACTGAAATGAAAAACTTGCTCGACCACCCATGGACAGTGCTGTGAATCAAACGCTGGCCTGCCCGTCCTAGAACAGCACCACCAATGTAGATCCGCCCCCAGCCCCTCACCCTGCCTCTTTAAGATTGATTTCTTGTGTGTGTGCCTGAGTGTATGCTTGTGCACCAAGGGCGTGCAGAAGCCCAAGGAAATCTGAAAATGTGTCTGAGCTCCTGAAACTGGTGTTAGGGATGTTTTGTGAGCCGCCACGCAGGTGCTGGGAGCCCAGGTCCTCTGCAAGAATGGCAGTGCTCCTAGCCGGTGAGCCAGCTCTCCCTCCTGAATCTGCCTCTTTAAACAGAGAAACATAACTATAGGGCCTTTAAATTTATTTTTATTTTATGTATATGTGTGTTCTGCCTGCCTGCATGCCTGTGTGTCACTTGTGCCCAAGGAGGCCAGAAGGAGAGTCAGATCCTCTAGATCCAGAATTACAGATGTTTGTTAGTGTGCTGAGAATTGGACCTGGGTCCTCTAAGAAGAGCAGCCAATGCTCTGAATTTGGTTGTTGGCCACAGCACAGATGCGGTAAGCACCAGGCGGCTTTTCTCTAGCTGCCGCCCCCACAGTGTGCGGGACTCAAATGCCGGCTCGCCCTTTGTGGGGGACACTCCTGTTTCCGGGATGCCATTTATTTGCCCCGTTAGTGTGACCTCAAACAAAATGTCCAACAGAGAACTACAAACACTTGCTGAGCACACAGATCATGGCCTTCCCGGAGGTTCTGGGCAAGGCCTGGGATTGCACCACGGCTGATCGTGGGTGGCTTCTGACAACTGCTCTGTGCCAAAAACCCCGGGTGCTCAGGTCTGGGGATGAAGAAGACAGGAGCTGTACTTTGTAATGTGACCTCCGGGTGGGCAAGGTGGTATAGCCCCATCATCCCACCTCTGGGATCTAAGTTAAGGAAGGGAGACTGATCACTGAAGGCTGGCCTGTGCCACACAGTGAGGCCCTCGCTTTAAAAAGTTAAAATTAAAATGTGACCTTGGGGGCCTGGAGAAATGGATCAACAGTTAAGAGCACTGGCTGCTCTTCCAGAGGACCCAGATTCAAGTCCCAGCACCCACATGGCAGCTTGCAACACAGTTCACAGTCTGTAGCTCCAGTTTCAGGGGGCCCCGAAACGTCCCATGACAAAACACCTAATACACATAAAATGTGACCTTGTGCCTAGAACACTTGAGACTGTGGCCTTAACACTAGCACTCCAAAATAAATAAGAATAAAAACAAACAAACTTGGCCTGGTGCTTCATACCTGTAAGCCCAGCATTCAAGAGGCTGAGGCATGAGAACCTCTGTGAGTCAGGCCAGTCTAGCCTACAGAGTGAGACCCTGGAGATCCTGTCTCAAAAGAAAGGAAAGAAGGAAATACACACAGGCACAGTGGTGCATACAGACACAGTGGCGCACACAGGCACACACGGGAACAGTGGCACACACAGGCACACACGGGCACAGTGGCACACCACTTTAATTCCAGCTTGGGCAGTGGAGGCAGAAGGATCCCATTGCCAAGTCATCCTTAGCTACAGAGGAAGTTTGAAGGGAACCTAAAATAGATGAGACCCTGTCCAAAAGCAGAACAAAGCAATCCAAGCACAAATAAAAGAAAGAGATGTTAGCGACTGGAACAAACCCTTTGTGAGGCTGCCCTCTCACAGCATAGCACAGGGTGGGTCACGCAGGCAGGGTTTAGAACCCACTATTCGGAGTCTTAGACCTTGAGCCAAGGGCAGCTCCTTACAGACACAGGCCAGGCAGCTAGTGGAGGGATGAGTGAGAATTCCTCTAGCCCTGTGACTCATTCTTGTCACATGTACAATGGTCATGTCCCTCAGCAGCCGACGGTCTGCGGTCTGCGATGTGGCTTTCCCTTCCAGCAGTAAGGGAACAGCTGCAACCACACCTGCCTCTTTTTATGGTTTGTGTGCTGAAGATCAATCCCAAGGCCTCGTGCGGACTAGGCAAGAGCTCTATCACTGAGAGACACACCAACCTACCCCAACACACACGCATCACCTCAACCCCACACCCCAACACACACACAGACCCTTACCCTCTACCACCAACACATACACACACCATCTTCACCCTCAAACCCTCACATACCACCAACACACACACACATACACACATACCACCAACACACACACATGTACACACACACCACCAACACACACACACATGTACACACACACCACCATCACATATATACACCCTTACCCTCCACCACCAACACATACGCACACCACCTTCACCCTCAAACCCTCACAAACACTACAAACACACACACACCAATACACACATGTACATACATATCACCAGCACACACACACATACACATATACCACCAACACACACACACCACCACACACACATACACATACACCACCACACACACACGTACACACACTACCAACACACACACGTACACATATACCACCAACTCACACATACACATACACCACCAACACACACACATACGCACACACACCACTAACATACACACCACTAATACACACCCATACACAAACACACCACCAGCTTTCATGTACACATACACCACCAACACACACACACATACACACACACACCACCAACACATACATGCACACCACCAACACTCTTTCAAAAAAGAATCTCAGCTAAGCTCCTCAAGCTAGCCTTGGACTCATTCTATAGTCCAACCAGGTCTTGGACTTGTGATCCCCCTGCCTCAGCCTCCACAGTAACTGGGATCATGAGTGTATGACACCGACCAGTTCTCGTGCAGCATGATTGTGAAAGGCCCCTCGAGAAGACTGGGAACAAGGTCCAAATTCCTGAGCTATCAAGGAAGGCTTCATAAAGAAGGGCATATTCGAATGGGCTTTGAAGGGTGGGTAGGGGTTTGCGTAGGGTTTAGCTTAGCTTTTCCTCCTGCTCTGCTTCTCCCTCCTAATGAAGCTGGAGGCCACCTGGCACCTGAGACACCATGTCAATAAGGAAGTCATGTTCATCCGGTCCTAAAAGTGGCTTGAAACTGACAAAAGCGTGACAGAGGTAAACCTTAACACCTGCCACTGTCCCCAAGAGAGCACAAGAAGATCCCTTTTCCCTATGTGTATTTTAATTCCTGTCTCTGAACCCTTTCCTAATCTCATTCTCTCAAGGTTCCAACCGTGGACAGATCGGAACAAAGGCAAAAAGAGAGCTGTGAGTAGCGAGGGGCTTGCTCTAATCACTGAGCTGCCTAGGCTTGCCCAGCAACTCCGAGGGGTGGCAGCCCCCCTCTGCACAGCCAGCCTGTTAACCTTCAGTCTCCCGTCTTCTTTCCAAGCCGCATTTGGCTTGGCACCGGTACAGGTGTCTTTAAATGTGCCACACTTGAACCACAAACGCAAAAGGGAAGCGGCCAGGTGGACCTTGAAATACGCAGCTTGCCCTCTGGACTTGGCTGCAGGCTTGACAGGTGTCACTGGTTCTCCTGGGAGAGTGAGCAGCTGACGAAATCGCAGAGGCCCAGGAGCCTGGCTTCCAGTAAGGGACCTTGTTTACCAGTTCAGAACAGGAAGCCCGGGTTGGACATTGAACAGGGGGTGAGTTACCAAGGAGTGGATTTGTTCCCGGCTGCCCGAGAAAGAGGGAATCTGTTGTTTTTGCAGATTAGTATCTATCTCCCTTGTTTGCTTTCTTCCCATGGCTAGAATTTCTTGGAAGCTTTTTCCAGGAAGAGGAGGCCCAGTAGGAAACAGGGGCAAAGAACGCAAAGCCCCGTTTCTGCTCGCTTTACTCTAAAGTGTCTTTATTTGCGCAGAAACACACAGGAGGCTGTGTGAAATAGGTCAGCATTAGGAACAAAAGCTAAGAAATAGGGGCACAAGCCACGCACTGGGACCATTCCTGCAAGGTCATGCCATGCACATGCTAGCCAAATGCCCTGTCCCTTGGGGGCATTGCCAGCCTGGGCCTTTCAGAAAGATGTGTTCACAGTCACCCCGGCTGTCCACGAAGGAACAGGGATCCAGACCTGGGTCCCAGCAACTGTGGATTCTATGCAGAATCCTGCAGGTCACGTGGGCAGGGAGGGGACTAGGGCCTGTCCCGCCACTCTTTGGTGGCAGCGCTTCTCAGTGACCTCCGAATGACCTCGGCTTTTTGTTCTAGGACTGGAGCCAACCAGGGCCCCTGCACGCTCAGCAGGCAGGCAGTCCAGCACTGGGCTACTTCACCAGCCAGGGCTTTGCACACTATTAGAAACTGAAAACTGGCGAGGGTGTCTGAAACAAGCTCCTTTCAGTCTTGGTTCCCATTCTTTGGTTGCAAAGATAGGCTGGTGGGACCCAGGTGACATTTGCCGAGTAAACACAAGTTCAGAGCAGGCAGAGTCCACACCCCCACTGAGCAAACAGCATATGGAGGCCGCAGTAGGGCTTCCCAGCTCCCAGGCTTTGCCTGGCCTGGAGAGCTGACCAGGAGAGTGTGCCCAAGGTCTGAAAGTTCATGAGGGTCCAAGGCTGCTTTAAAAAAAAGGCTCTCAGTCCTGGTGGCACGTGCCTTTAATCCCAGCACTCGGGAGGCAAAGGCAAGTGGATCTCTGTGAGTTTGAGGCCAGCCTGGTCTACAGAGTGAGTTCCAGGACACGAAGTCCAAAATTACACAGAGAAACCCTGTCTCAAATAAATAAATAAATCAAAAAAGGTTCTCATGTAGCACAGGTTGGGCTGGGATTTGCAGGACCGCCGCTGGGATTACCTGGTTGACGTAGTGTTGGGGATTACCTGGCTGACGCAGTGTTGGGGATTATCTGGTTGACCTAGTGTTGGGGATCACTCAGTGCATCCTATATGCTAGGCAAACACTCTACCAACTGAGCTACACCCCTAGTTCTGCTATTACTAACAACACCCTGTGTGCTGCTCAGCTCCAAAGCGGAGGTGCCAGCTGGATGACAGGTGAGTTCTCAGGCTACAGAAGCCACAGCCATGACTGGATGTGGAAGAGGGATCAATCATTAGATCCCAGGTAGAATGTAGCTGCTGGGGACTGGAGAGATGGCTCAGAGGTTAAGAGCATTGCCTGTTCTTCCAAAGGTCCTGAGTTCAATTCCCAGCAACCACATGGTGGCTCACAACCATCTGTAATGCAGTCTGGTCCCTCTTCTGGCCTGCAGACATACACACAGACAGAATATTGTATACATAATAAATAAATATTAAAAAAAATGTAGCTGCTGGGTTTAAGCACCTTCAGGACCTACAAACTGTGACCCAGGATTGTCTCAGTTTTCCAAGACCTCTGTTTTCTTCATCAGGGACTGACAGAAGGACTTGCCTGGGATTGCCAAATAGAGTTCAAAGCACTCATGGAGCCAGGCAGTAGTAATGCACACCTTTAATCCCAGCACTCGGGAGGCAGAGGCAATCAGATCTCTGTGAGTTCAAGGCCAGCCTGGTCTACAAGAGCTAGTTCCTGGACAGGATCCAAAACTACAGAGAGACTCTGTCTTGGAAAACCAAAGTAATAATAATAATATTTCAAAGTTAAACTTAGAGCCAGGAACACAGGGACATAGCTTAAGCTTGCAATCATTGCACTCGGGAGGCTGAGGCAGGAGGAACACTATGAATTCAAGACCATCCTGGACAGGATAGCTTGGATTATATAGGAAGACTCTTTCAAGGGGAGAAAAAACTAGGTGTTATGGCACACACCTGTAATCCCAACACTTTGGAGGTAGGGGCAGGAGGATTATAAATTCAAGGTCATCCTTGGTTTTGTGGTTGAGTTGGAAACCAGCCTGGTTTCTTTGAGACCTATTTCAAAACAACAATAAGAACGTGAAGCTTTATTCAGGAGAAGGATGTTGAGAATACTCGGTCCATCTTAAGAGTTATCTGTGATTTCAAGGGCTGGGGTGTAGTTCAGGAGCAGTGTGAATGAGGCCCCGGGTTCATTCCCTGCCCTGCTCCGTACGTAAGAGAACTTCTAACTCTTTAAATGTTTGCTGAGCACCTGACATGGGATGCAAGACTTGTAGACTTGTCTTAAGGAGTGCACAGTCAGGGATGGAGAGACAGCCCTTCCAGAGGACCCAGGTTTGAATCCCAGAACTCACATGGCGCTATCTAATTCCGGTCCCAAAAAGCCCATCTCCCTCTTCTGGTCTCCAAGGGTACTGCATGCACATGGCACACAGTGCAGGAGGAGCCTCGCAGGAACCTGCACTGAGACTTCAGTGCCTGCCTCAGAGACCCACTCCCAGCAAGACACATGGAGTATGCTGACATTTGTTGTATAGTGTGAACGTTCAGAATAATGTCAGGCAGTTCACACAACCCCTCCAAGTGCTTTGCTTCCTGTTTTGGGAACCAGCCTGGTGTCTGTAAGGCTGTCCACTGAACATTAACCTAGATGTTGCTGTGAACTGTCTTGTGGATATAACTCCCACCTACCATTAGTCAACTCAAGTAAACGGGTGACCTAAGCATGCCTCTGTCAGCCAGGAAAAACCTTTTCCTGGGGTAGAACTGAGGAAGGGAGGGAGAAGAAGAGGAGGAAGAGGTGGGGAAGAGGGGAAGGAGCAAGAGACAGCAATGCCGGCATCCACCCAGGGCCTGGCTTTACCTTGCTGATCTTCTGTCCCTCTTCAGACTCCCTGACCCTATAAGAAATTGCCTGAGCTGATTACTTAGAATGAATCTCAGCGGTTCTAAGCATGCATCCCACTGGCTCTGGTTCCGGTCCTCTTCTAGCAGGCAGGGAGGCACTCCAGTTCCCTTGCTTCCCCCCACCCTCAGGGGTGAAAGCATGGAGTGTAGGCATGGAGGGACCCTTGGGACTGCAACTGCCCCCACTACACACAGGTGTTTAGAAGATGGCCAAGCACTGTCCTTTCTGGTCTACACAGAGGCACTGGGGCCACAGACTTGAGCCCTGTGTCCTGCTGTAGGCAGGTTCTGAGATTCAAACTCAGGCCTTCCTGAAGCACTTTACCCGACAGTCTAGCAGAAATCTAACATGACAGAGAAAGAGACCGGAGATTGACCTCTGCCCTCCACACATGCACACATGGCAAATGCACCTGCACATACCAGACTGCACACACAGATGCACCCAAACGTCTCTCTCCCTCCCTCCCTCCCCTCTCTCCCTTCCGTTTGGCTATGATGAGGGCTAGGGCCTGAGCTGAGTTGGGGCTCATTTGGTAGAGTGCTTGACTAGCCTGCACAAAGCCCTAGGTTGAATCCCCAACACCAAATGACACCCAGTGTGATGGTGAACACCCTCCAGGCACTTGGGAAGTGGAGTCAAGAGGTCATGAGTTCAAGGCCATCCTCTGATAGAGGCCAGCCTGGGCTGCAATACAAACAAACCAAAAACCCTAAAAATGTAATAGCAGCACATCCTACGGTTGTTTAGATTAATCGCGGATAGATGCGTTCGGCAGATGGCCACGCTCCCCGCGGCCTTCCTGCACTTGAAACACCTGGCCCCAATCTCCAGGATATTGACATTTACTTTGGTCTTTATGTCACTGCCAGCTGTGGTGACTTCGCTTTCAACCTGGCCTCTGACTTTTACTTGGCTGATAAGAAAATAAACAGGGCTGTCATCAATGGCACCAGGGCAACCTTCAAGCCTGGGGCAAGGAGGAACCTTGCACCCCTGATGAAGAGAGGCTCAGTGCAGTTGACTTTAGGAATGTTTCCTTCTGGGGTGCGCCAACCATCTGACCAGGTTTCCCTTGACTTCGTGGTGTTTTTCTTGTCTGACTCTACTTCCTGGGAGCCCTGAAGCTGTAAATCTTTCTTCTCTTCTTGTGTAGCTTGTATCAGACAGAAAACTGACAGACCGTGACAAAGGAAAGGTTAGGCTGAAAGCAGGATCGGGGTTGCCAGGTGTCAGGCAGGGGTGAGGGCGCAGACCCAGGTAACAGATGGGGTGTCTCCTGAGGGAGTGCCAAAGAGAATTCAGTTTATTTGAGCAAGCACAAAACAGAATGTTGCGGATAGTTCCTGGAATCGAAGCAGGTTCTGAAAATCCCAGCCCACTGCTCAGTCAGGCAGCTTTCATAGAAAAAAAAAATGGAGGCATGTTCTGGGAAGGAGTGCGGTGGCGTTCCATCCCCAAAACTGCAAAGGAGGGAAGGAAGGAGGGAAGGACAAAGAGAGGAGAGGAGAGGAGAGGAGAGGAGAGGAGAGGAGAGGAGAGGAGAGGAGAGGAGAGGAGAGGAGAGGAGAGGAGAGGAGAGGAGAGGAGAGGAGAGGAGAGGAGAGGAGAGGAGAGGAGAAAAAAAACAGAGCCGAGAAGACGATGAGTGACTGCCCACCACAAGATCAGTTTGTTCACTCAATCGGTTATTGCTCGGCTCGCTGTTTGCAGCCTTATTAGCTGCTTACCCACCCAGCCTCCTGCAACCGAAGAGAGTCAACTACTCCAGCTAAAATATGTACTCATTAGACCTGTCGGTCCATTGCAAGTGTCCAGTCTAATCCTGAGTCCACCTATGAGAAATCTTTCCTAGCAGGGGTGTGTAGATATTTTTCAAGCTAGACAGAGGTGCTAATCACCCAACATTGTAAGCTAAATGCCATTACCTGCACACTTCTTTTTTTTTTCTTTTTTGGCGGCAGTGGTGGTACTGGAGATCAAATCCAGGGCCTTGTGTGTACTAAGTCTACCACGGAGCTACATTCCTAGCCCCTGAGAGAGATAGAATCTCACTACGTAGCCCAGGCTATAACCTAGAGATCCTCCAGACTCCTGTTCCCCAGTGGGTACATCACAAGTGTGGATCCCACACCTGGCTAACGATTACTTTTATGTCGTGTGGCATTCAGCTCAATTAAAAGGCAAACATGACCTCACAGGAAATAAGGCAGATGTGAAAGAGCCTAGCCTGTGAGTCCGTGCGCATGCGGTTCAAGAATCAGCTGTACTCCTCCCTCCATGGTGAGAACGGCCAGAAGGAGGTGAGTCTTTAGAAAGAGGAATGAAGAACTTGAACTTCCTGGGTGATGGCAATGTCCCGCGGCTCTGGACAGTGATGCAGAACCCGAGTAACTGTGAAGATCTGAAGGTCCTATTGCTATGTACCTCACTGTGGTGAGCCAAGTGAGAACACCGGCTGCCATAGTTTATATATTTGGGGGCTTGGTCTCCAGTTAGTGAAACTGTTTGAGGAGGAATTGGAGATGTGGCCTTGTTGGAGGAGGTGTGGCCTGTTGGAAGAGGCGTGGCCTTGTTGGAGGAGATGTGGCCTTGTTAGAGGAGGTGTGGCTTTGTTGGGGAGGCATGGCCTTGTTGGGGAGGTGTGTCAATGGGGTTTCAAAAATTTGAGGTTTTAAAAGGCCATGCCATTTCCATTGTCTCTCTTTCTCTGCCTAATGTGTGTGGATCAAGATGTGAGCACTCAACTACAGCCACAGTGGCCTGCCCTGCCTGCTGCCTGCTGCCTGCTGCCTGCTGCCTGCTGCCTGCTGCCTGCTGCCTGCTGCCTGCTGCCTGCTGCCTGCTGCCTGCTGCCTGCCGCCATGCTCCCCATCATGATAGTCATGGACTCACTCTGAAACCACGAGCCCCAAATTAAATGTTTTTCTCTGAGTTGGTTTGGTGGTAGTGTTTCTTCACAATGACAGGAAGGTAACAAGACACCCACCAAAAAGTTTTTAAAAGGAGCAAAATGCAGAGTACTCATCCAGATGTCTTGGAAGGCTGAGGCAGGAGAATGCCTATGAGTTCAAGAACAGCCTGGGCAGGATAGTAAGACCCTGCCTCAAAATATTTTAGATAGTAAGACCTTGTCTCAGGCTATTTTGGAAAGTAAATATAAAGTCAAACACAGGGGTTTCATGGAATTGAGAAAAAAAAGATGGTGGAAAGGAAAGCCACCCATGGTGGAACGAAGCAGAACCACCCGGGGACAGGCAGAGGACTGGCAGACAAAGAAGTATGCTGTTAATGATCATGGCGGGTCCTCAGGCCGGCATCAGGTTATTCTCACCTGCTTGCTGCTTGCCTGTTAGGCCAGCACTGTCCCTCAACCCACACTGGAGCCCCTGCTGCCACCACCCACACCGCTGCCACCACTCACTCACACCGCTGCCACCACTCACACCGCTGCCACCACTCACTCACACCCCTGCCACCACTCACACTGCTGCCACCACTCACACCGCTGCCACCACTCACTCACACCACTGCCACCACTCACACTGCTGCCACCACTCACACCGCTGCCACCACTCACACCGCTGCCACCACTCACACCGCTGCCACCACCCACTCACACTGCCACCACTCACACTGCTGCCACCACTCACACCGCTGCCACCACTCACTCACACTGCCACCACTCACACCGCTGCCACCACTCACACCGCTGCCACCACCCACTCACACTGCCACCACTCACACTGCTGCCACCACTCACACCGCTGCCACCACTCACTCACACTGCCACCACTCACACCGCTGCCACCACTCACACCGCTGCCACCACTCACTCACACCGCTGCCACCACTCACACCGCTGCCACCACTCACTCACACCGCTGCCACCACTCACACCGCTGCCACCACTCACACTGCTGCCACCACTCACACAGCTGCTACCACTCACACCGCTGCCACCACTCACTCACACCGCTGCCACCACTCACTCACACTGCCTCCACCACTCACACTGCTCGCCTTGCTTCGGGGAGGAGAGCCTGGGGCTGTGATGCTGCCGTTGGGTAGCAAACATGGTGTTTGAGCCCAGGACACAGGATCACGTTTGCTCAGGACACACTGCCCAACCGTACTGACAGGACAGAAGAAAATGCCTGAGATGAAGAATGGTTCGTTTTCTGGGTTTAATCTCCTCAAAAGACTTGCTGCCAGAGGCCATATTGATGCTTGTGGCCCATGATGCCGCTGGGGGCTGTGTTGATGTCCATGGTTCGTGTTGCCAACAGAGGCCATGTTGATGTCTGTGCGCCTGAGGCCATGCTGTTGTCTGTGATCTGTGCTATGGCAGTGGCCCGTGTTGATGTCAGTGGTCCATGCTGCTGCTGGCTGCTATGGGCAAGGAAGCTTCGTTTGCAGTGGGATCTGTGACTGCAGACTCATAATTGAGAATGAGTGACATTGAAGGCTTCTGTGACAACCTCCCCAGCCCTGAGCGAGAGAAGAGAGAGAGAGAGAAATGATAGAGGGAGGGTGGAAATGATAGAGGGAGAGAGGGAGAGAGACAGAGAGAGGGAGGGAGGGAGAGGGAAAGGATAGAGGGAGAGAGAGAGATCAGACAAGAAGCTATTGAAGAGAGTCCTTAAAATCCATGATAAAGATGCTGAGGTGTAGCTCGGTTGATGACTTCCTGCAGATAGGGGAGGGGGCATGAGGGATGACAAGGGGATGGCCTGAAATTCGGTTTTCTTTAAGGGGCTGGGCACTGGAAGTTTGACCATGCTCTAGTGAGGATACTCACAACACAAACTGGACTTGATGTTTCGTTTTTCAGGGTTTTTCTCCTGTGGGTCGGGGCAGTGGCGTGCAATGGTGCGAGGAATGGGAAGCGTGTGATAGGGGTGCATTGTATGAAATTCCCAGACAATTAATAAAAAATATTACGTTGGGAAAAAATAAAAGAGTCAAGTGTGGTTGCACATGCCTGTAATTCCAGTACCTGTGAGGTAGAGGCAGGAGGATCAGGAGTTCAAAGTCAGCCTCAGCAACATAGCAAACTCAAGGTTAGTCTGAGCTTCGGGGTGCCCTGTCTTTTTTTTAATATTTTGTTTTTTTTTCAGTTATGTGTATGCATATGTATCTGTCTGTATGAGGACGTAAGTGTGGGTGCCCTCAGGGACCTGAGGCATCCAATCCCTGAAGTTGTTGTTATGAACAGTTGTGAACTGCCCTGTGTGTGTGCTGGGAGCTCAGGTCCTCTAAGGGAGCGGTATGTGTTCTTACTGCTGAACCCTCTCTCCAGCCCAAGATAACATGTCATAAACAAACAAACAGAACAAATAAAAAGCAAGTATCCTAGAAAAAGGCAACATTTGGTTTGATAAGTTATCCTTGACTCAGGTTACCTGTTTCTATTTATAATTATTACATTATTTCATTTATAGATATTCACCGATTTTGCTGTTTTGCTTCTGAGCCAGGATCATGCTGTGCAGCCCTGGCTGGTCTCACACTTGCAGCAATCCCCCTGCTTCTGTTTCCCAGGCGCTGGGATTCGAGGTCTATGTCAACATGTCAGCCTGTAGACTCTTTTATGTGTTTATGTGGTTTGGTGGGATTTGTTTTGTTTTGAGACAGGTCTCACTGCAGCTCTGACTGAACTGAAAGTCACTACATATACCAGACTGACCTCAAAGTCAAGAGATCCACCTGCATCTGCCTCCTGAGTGCTGAGACTGAAGGGGCGTGCTACCCTGCTGGGCCTCAGATTTTCTCCCCCCATCTTAAAACATTTTTTAAGGACTGAGGAGAATTCCCAATGGTAAGGCACTTGCTCCGTAAGCATGAGGTTCTGAGTTCGCATCCCTACACCACCACATAAAGCCAGCTGCGTTAGCTCTAATCTGAAGAATCCTGAGATGCGTTTGGGTCAACTGGCCTGGAGTGCACACTGATGAACAAACAGGAGACCCTGTGCCAAACAAGGAGGAAAGTGAGGCTGACATCTAAGGTTGTCTTTTTTTTTTTTTTTTTTGAGATTTTATTTATTTTTATTTTGTATGTGTGTTTTGTCTGAATATGTGTCTTTTGCACCGTGTGTGTGTGCTGTGCCCAAGGAATCCAGAGAGAGCATCAGATCCTCTGGGACTGGAGTTATAGGTGCCCTCATGTGGGTGCTGGGAAGTGCTGGAATTGAGCCCAGGTCCTCTAGAAGAGCAGCCAGTGCTCGTAACATGTAAGCCATCTCTCCAGCCCCTTAAATTTGTCTACTGACCTTCATACCTATGCTATGGCATGTACACACCTGTATTTACACACATGAACACACATACATAAATGAAATAAATACTTTTTTTAAATCAGGCATGGTAGCTCACACCTGCAATCCCAGCGCCTGAGAGGCAGGAAGATTGTCAGGATTCAAAACCAGCCTGGTCTATATGGTGATTTCCAGGCCAATAAGGGCTACCAGGCTGGTCTCGTACTCAGAGATCCACCTGCCTCTGCCTCCCAAATGCTGGGATTAAAGGCGTGCGCCACCACTCAACAACATTTCTTCTTAAAAAGTTATTGTGTGTGTGTGTGTGTGTGTGTGTGTGTGTGTGTGTGTGTGTGTGTGCCACATGTATGCTGGCGCCCAATGAGGCCAGGAGAGATGGTCTAGGGTTCTCTGGAGCTGGGTTAGCAGGCAGTTGTGAGCTGCTCAACATTGCCCTCTAGAAGGGCTATACATGCTCTTAACCTCGGAGCATGCCTTCGGCTTCCCCTTCCCCTGCCTTGTGACATTTCAATGCATACAGGCTGTCCGTATTTAAATGTGTGCCTCGGGTGAACTGTTTTCTGATGCTTCACTTGTATGAAGATGGGGAGGAAGGGGCATCGTGACTCATGACATAAGGCTTTTCTACATCGGTGTCTGTAGCCAGAGACTTTTCTCTCTCCCGTTTGGTCCCAGCAGCCACTTACAAACAATCACTCAGAAGTTTAATACTAATTATAATTGGTTGACTGATGGCTAGCTTTTACATATAAATTCCATTTCTAATAATCTGTGTATCGCCACATGCCCCGTGGCTTACTGCTAATGCTCTAGTATCTTACTCCTCCAGCGACTGTTGTTACCTCCCCAACTCTACCCCTCTTCTCCTTTATTTGTGCTTGAATTTCCTACCTGGCTATATCCTTTCTTGGTATAGGTCAAAGCATCTTTATTTATCAACCAATGAGACCAGCACATATTTACAGTCTACAGAAAGACCATCCCACAACAAATTTCTTTGTGAGAAATTCATGTATTTGGGATCAGAAGAGCCTGCTGGTGAGTGTTACCCACCCTGGACGGGGCCTTGATGAAGTGGTCCCAGGCTGTGGTTTCCAGGTGATGCCCTGCATTTTCATTCCACCTTGGGCTTTCTTCCATTCTTGATGCACCTGTCGGCCCCAGCTGCTTGTGACTTGGGCACCTTTGGGAAGGTTAACTCCTCCAAGAAGGACTTCCTGTTGGTATTAAGAAGCTATCACAGCCCTCCTTAGCAGGACAAGAATGGAGTTGATGCCTGGGGGCCAGCACCAGGATTTTGACAATGAAAGTGACAAGAAAACCTGTGGCTGGGGGCATAGCTCGGTGGTGGAGCATTTGTCTAGCATGCACAAGGCCCTGGGTTCCATCCCTGCTCCTGTAAAAGGAAGAAAGGAAGGAGGGAGGGCGGGAGAGAGGCACACAGGCAGGGAGGCAGGGAGGAGTGAAGGAAGAAGACAGGCAGGCTGTGGAAGATTGCCAAATAAAAGGCAGGCTATCCAGTTACATTTGAATTCCAAGGAAATTCCACATATTGCACTG